GAAAATCCTGATATTGACTGATTAGTAGGTAATGTCAAAATAATTAAGGGATCAACAAGGATGAGGCATGTCATGGTGCCTTATTGCTTCTCAGAAATCCAAGGAGTAAACGGACTCAACCCAAGGTCAAGTGTCACTGACTTAGGGCAACTCTGGGTCTAGTTTCTAGGCAAAGGCCTGGCCTTACTGGGCGCTATCAGAAGCCATGATGCCAAGCCCAGGCTAACAAGTTAGCAGTGGCATCTAGAAAGCCCAATTTCAATCATGGAATAGGTAGAGGATATCTGCAAACCTTTCTATGAGTATAGCATTTAACAGCCACAGACGACTTTTTCTGGACAACACAGAGAGAAATATGCCAACTGAGAGTTTAACTAACGAGCACTATCTTCATTGTATTTCATACATCAATGGCTTTTGTCAACATGTCAGAGCTCCACCCTTCAACATGAGGTTTGCATTGGTTGGGAGTCTGATGCTTGGAGCCATTTCAATGAGCAACACAGATGTTAAGGGCAGTAAAGAAATCAGCTCAATTCCTTTCACCTGTGACTGACCCACCAAGGGCCAGGAGATTGACAAGCATCATTGGCTCCACTTTAATAATGGCAGAATGATGCTCATACTGGTCATTGGCTTTGGCTGTCCTGGTCTTTTGGACACCAGGGAGCCATCAGGTGTTCAAGCAGGGGCACAGCACCATCAGGGATGTTCTAGAAAGTTACCTGTGGCAGAGCCTGATTAAGGTTATGCATACATGCCCTCCACAGCTTTACAAACTACCTAGCCTTACCAGTCAATTCCAGCCCACTGTCTGGGTAAATGAAGTCTTACTGGAACAAACACTTATCCGCTTATGTATTTTCTATGGCTGTTTTTGCATTACAAGGGGAGAGGTGAATAGCTGTAATAGACCATAGGGTCCACAAAGCCTAAAATACCAGGAAGTTTACAAACCTGTGCCCTAGACAAGAGATGATTCATCAGAGCATGGCTTGGACAAGAACATACAAAAGGAGTAGGATTTTGCAGGCATTTGGGGGCACTTTTTGAAACTTGGGGACCAACTAGGATTTCTGGCTGGGGCAACACAGCCAGTGATGCATTTAGGTGATAGGAGCACACAGTACATTTTGAGATAGCAGGAAGAGCTAAGAAGAGTTTGGGTTTAGATTCCTTTACTTTGAAGAGTCTCTGAAACCTCTAGTTTAGGAGTCTGAAAGCAAGGAGGAAAATGCGGGACCTGGAGATCCCTCCTCTTTTCTCTCATCCATTACTACATCCTTGTGCAGTCTGAGAGCAGAAATTAGATTACCGAATTTTGGGTCATACTCCCCTCCATTCATACCCTAGGAATCAAAAGGAGCCTTGGCAGAGGGTAGGCAGATATTTGTTGTGGGAAAAAAGGAGCAGTTTGAGAGTCAACGTTTCCATCAAGGGAAGTGATTTTAGGGTATAACTATGGTGCCTACTCCCAAGGAGTTCCCAAGCTAATGTGGGACACAAAACATAGAGATTTAAAGATGACTTCTATTAATCAAGGTGTAGAGTCTGTAAAAGTCAAATGAGCCAAATGAGGGGTGTGGGTTGCTGCAGAGGGAGCCACTCCAAGTTAAAAAAGGGTTCCCGGATGAGGTGGCACTTGGTCCTAGGGCTTTGAAGAATGGGTAGGAATTTGATTACCTTGAGGGCAGTCATCTCAGTGATCTAGAAAGATAGAATGGGAACTCAGCTCTTTCCCTATCATTTGAAAAGTGGGCACACCAAATCCAAGCCATAAAAAGACAACTGGTGGGCAATTGATATTTTTAAAGGCTCCCCACCTAATTCTAAGGTGCAGCCAGGTTAGAGAACCACTGGTTTACACGAACTGAATTTTTTCAATCCAATCTCTCTAGCATAACAGAACACACACTCAAGTGATGGGAATATCAAAGACAGTCTGAAATAATGAGAACAGCTTGTAATGAAAGAGACATTCTTCTTCCATCAGGGACAAATTTTAATTCATGATTTAACTCAATGGAAGAGAAAACTGTAAATGCATGAGGAAGTCATGAAGTAGTGGTTCCTCATATGAGATTACTCTTACTCCCCTCTGGGGAGAGTAAGCCACCCGAAGGAAGTTGGGGGAACAAACACAATTAGTTTGAAATTCTTTTTAAAATAGATGCCTTGCAACACAGAACACAGTGCTCTCAAATGGAAGAGAGGGATGAACATCACAGTGTCAGGTGTCCCACACTGCTGAGCATAGCTTTAATGCTTAGCTTGGCCTTGGAACTTCTACAAAAGGCAGCTTTAGAATATCTGCAATTTCTACTTTTCCCAATGCAATCCAGTTGAAGAACTGGTTTTGAAGGAACATGCTGTTACCTAACATTTCCAAGTCAGAAAACATAACCCCCAGTGACACTGGCAAGGTTCCTGGGAAGCACTCCCAGCTGGCAGTAGATGCTTAAAGCTCAGCAGAACAACCTTTAACCTGTTCTCCAGCACTCTTCCTCCCTCCCTCCCAATCATGCAAAGTCCCAAACTCTTGTATGTGTAACTTGAAAAAATCTATTTTGGATCCACCGAACTCTATCGCATAATATTTTGTGGTTCTCATGATGTCAGATCTGAGGGTCTTAGAACAAAGTCAGAATATTCTCCTTCCAAATGAATAAGAAGAGGGAATCCTACACTGTGTCCTTGTCGACTAAGCTGCTGATGGACAAAAATGTTAACAAATGTCTCTTACTCCCTCAGAGACAAGATTTGTGGAGGAGGTTGGGCTGTGAAACTTTACAGTTTAGTAAGTTGAAGAGGAGACAGAAAGGGTAAACTTTAAAAGCCAGGTGTTAGGTCCACAAGGACAAGAGATCTAAGTGATTATAGATCAAGTAAGAGGAAGTATGGTAAATGAATGGAATAGGAAGGGGGAAATCACACTGAAGAGGGCCTACCACGTGCTAGAGGATACAATGTCTTGACTGACCCTCATACTTCTTTAGTTTACTCCTAACGCTTTTAAAGGCAGGAAATTATTTAAGACACCAAACACAACAGCTTAGTGTAGCATAAGCACATTTCAATAATAAGAGCTTGCAATAAAAAATAAAAAACTTTTTTTCTTTATTTTTCCTGGAGTAGTAGTGCTGCAAATTAGAGAATTCCTGAAAAACTAGATGTGAGTAATCCATGGTGCTCCAAACCAGACATGGCATCAGGGAAACAACCACTCAAGCACACAAGTGGCATTTTGTGGTCAAATTTATTTTTTGTTTAAATTTCATTTACTTTGTCTTACTGTAATTTACACAAGAGACTGCCAAGTAAACTAGGTATTTTACATTCATCACACATTCCCTCAAATCTCCACAGCTGTTAGGAAAACATTAAAATCCATGCGCCAGGCTCGCATTTCCATGTTCACCCAAGCTCCCAATAATACTACAGATGCCAGCAAGAGTTAAGTTCATTAAAAGGACAGGTATAGACTCTTTATTTCACAAAATTAGCAATAATCTTCCTCACACCAAACACTTTGCAGACAATGATTATGCTTTGACAAAACCTATCTTACAACAGTGCCCAGAGAGTAAACATCAGTCTTTATCCTGAGTACACAAAGGACATATGAAATGTGGGATCTGTTGTTGAGGATAACAGGGTTTCGCAATGCAGCAGTGATCCTAAACATCCTTGTCCAATTCACTGCAATCACTCCAGTGGGGACACAGGACATGTGGGAAAACGAGGAGCATGGAAGGCAGGACTGTCAGCAAATCAGATGACTACTGTGATTTGACTGCAGGGGTTGGCGTGTTTTAAGAGGGACAGGAGGTTAAAGAAGACAGTTTGTGACCTGAAGGCTTCAACAATATCATTCTGCTCAAGCTTCCAGGACTGACAAGAGAAAAACTGAATTTGGACAGAGAAAGCCGATAAAAATCTTACCTAGCTATTGTTCCTTCCTTTAAAAAAAAATATGAAAGGGGTGGCAGCGGCTCCTAACTGGCATTTTCATGAAATTCAGGATATGTTCCAATGATGTCCTACTTGAGAGCACATCCAAAAGTTGGAGGCCCCCAGCCCCTAGGCAGGGCCTCCCAGCCGCATGCAGGCATGCTTCATCTTCAACTGTTCCTATTGCAAAGCCGGCAGGTCCCCCTTGAAGTGTATTTCAACGTGAAAAGAGCAAAAATGTCATCACTATCCATATTCTATGTCAGCTGTGAGGAATCTAGACCGTTTGCATAGTTTCCGAGCTGTAATTCCAGAAAACAGTCATTTCAGAAACAAGACTCCGTGGAAATGCTATACTTCCGATTTTTCTACACAACCTACAATACTATTAAGATTAATTTCATCATCAATTTCTTTGTTGATCTAACAGGTGCCTGAAAATTGTCTTGAGTTTATTATAAATCACAAATCATCCTCTTCATTTTTCCTAGATTTGATGTAGAAAAATACTTGAAATTTAAAATACAAAAATCCAATAAAAACTGGAAATTTTTTAAAAAGGATTTTTCACTCAGGGCAAACAAGTAAAAACTGGCCTGTAACTTTACTCCTTATTTAATAGATATTGTCGAATTTGGCTGTAAGATAGTGACTATCCAGAAATAAATAGTTATAAATACATTCAAAGTTTACATTTCAGATTCATTGGAATACCAAAAAATTTTCAAGAAATTTTTCTGTGGGAGTCTGTTGCTTATGGGACTAAAATAAAAATTTATAAGAAACTGATTTAAAAGAAAGAACAGAAAAATAATAAAAGGTTATGTATATTGGTCCACAACTTAACATTTATGAAGCATACCAGCTAGTATTACATTGCAGTCAATCTGTCCATTAATGGCATTACTCTGATAATTATTAAAATCTGTTCCAGGTATATATATTGAAAATATTTTCTTTTGCATACATTGCAGTCAATCTGTCCATTAATGGCATTACTCTGATAATTATTAAAATCTGTTCCAGGTATATATATTGAAAATATTTTCTCTTGCAGAAGATAGGTACAGTACTTTGGAGAAATTGTACTAATCCCTTCAGTATGTCTGTATGTACATATATACACAAGTGTGTATAACTGGATCTGTAGCTCTACATGCGTTTTATATACAGCTACAGGCGTACACACACATACATATATACACACGTGTTTGGGAACCTGTGCATGTGTGTACACCACCACAAGCACACATCTGGGAAATGTGAACACTGCAAGATACTGGTCAGATTCTTCTTCACTCATCACTGGCTGCACTTGTTCCCCTCACTTGACCTTGATTACGTAACTGTAAGAAAAGTGAAAGACAGTGCAAAATGTATTAAAATACAGAGACGCAAAAAAAAAACATTAGATAGAAGCTTGTCATACACATTCTCCAGAAAAAAATTCTCAGTATAGCCAAACTTTTGGCAGAAAATGTACCCCAACCACTGCACCTTAAAATTTTAACCTGTTTAAAACGATTTTGGTCTTACTGATGGCATAATATTTTGTTTCATTGGAGGGAAAAATAAATAAGTGGAAATAAATCACAGAAACTTAGGAAAACTTAACAAAAGTAACAACTATAAAAAATTTTCTTTTAGTGAACACTAAATTTAAGGAAAGAGCTTTGGAGGAATCTTCGAAGAGTTACTTCTTTTCACAACGGAACACTTCATTTATCCTCCTGTTCAATAATTAAAGAGCAGGTAGCTCACATAAGCGGGTACCAAAGAACCACAGTGGAGGGAGGGGAGTGCTATATCATATTCTTTTCCTCAATAAATATCACAGGTCGATATTAACAAATAAGAAATGTTGATTTTTATTTACTCACACTAGTTTCAATATGTGGGGTAGATTTTGATGCTCTTTTCCCCTCTGGGAAAATCTGTTATCTGGGCATGTAAAATTTGTTAGAGAATATAAGACCATAGAAATGTTTTACACTGTAAATTAAAACCAAAGTACATTTACACAGAGTAAAGCTAACTGTAAAGATAACTGAAAATTAAACATGAAGGAAGACTTTCTGGTGCACAGAAAAAAATTAAACTAAATAAATGATTGTGGTTGGCTGTCATGGTATGGGATGAAGGATCATTGTTTGATTTAAAATGCTTTTACATATTTCCTTACTAACAACAAATGGTTCTACTAAGAAACAGGTCAATTAACTGGCTATTAAAAAATCAGCTGGCTTCTAGGACAATGCTACAATGCTACAACGCTACGTGATGAATAAGTGTACTTGGCAGCTGGTTTCTAACCCGTAACACTAAGAACTAGCCTGGGATTACTACATCCAACCTGTTCCGCAGATAAAATTCTTACAGAATAGTAACTCAAGTGTTCACTGTCAATTTCTAAAATATATAGCTTTTAAATTCTAAAAATAAAATTACATTTAACACTTTGTTAGAGCCTCTGCTGAGCAAGTTAACTACCCATCACCAAAAAGGCATAGGTTTTTAAACATCTTTTTACCCAGGTCTTCACTTACACAGTTTGATATTGTCTCTGACCCTACCCGGGACTCATCTAGACATCAGCAGCCGACGTGCCTCGGACGGAACCCTTCTTACGCATCTAAACGTAAAATAAAATTGTGAGCTGCTGAAATCAGACTCTAAGTAGGGGTTAGTAAGAAAGGAGAAAAAAAGATCTAGAAGAAGTTATGAAGTGACAGCTGCCTGTTTATAACCAAAGTCACATTAAGAATGAAGTTCTGAGGCAATAATCTTGGTTTAAAGACGATCTTGCAAAAGGCTTTTTTTCCCACAGTACAAAAAATGTATATCTATTCTTGAATCTAGATACAAAAGCCTGCAAACTGATGACATGAAATTACCAAAGATAGCCAATGCCTAAACGAACGGTTTGCCAATACAATATGAGAATAATGTTACAATAGTCTGGTCCATATTTTCATAGTCCCTAGACCAGATGGGAAGCCATGAGAGTGTGCCTACCTCTGCTGCTTCTGGGACCATGGTCTTTCAGAGGAGTTCTTTAAAGGAAGTTTATTGAAAAGACAGAGAATGAAAGGAAGAATAAGTGAGCACAGGAACATTTGGCAAATAAAGGACACAAGGATGCATCAGAAAGGACAGGTATACATAATAATAGCCTACAGACAAATAAAAAAACCTCAATGACAAAAACGAGAAACAAATGGACAGAAAAGAAACAAATCCAACAAATACACTTCTAAAACTCAAAAAAATAAAGGACACAAGGATGCATCAGAAAGGACAGGTATACATAATAATAGCCTACAGACAAGTAAAAAAACCTCAATGACAAAAACGAGAAACAAATGGACAGAAAAGAAACAAATCCAACAAATACACTTCTAAAACTCAAAACCCCCCTCCCTGCCTCCACCCCAGAAGTGCCAGTTGAGAACAAACAGGTACAACATTATCCAAAGTACTCCTTCAGTTGCCAAGCCTAACCCCAGCAGTTCTCTGCAGGACTACAGGCAGGGGCACTCCTCTCATGCCTAACCTCTCAAGGTGCTAGTGCTTTTCTCCAGGGCCAAAACCCATTTGAAAGAAATCCAATTCTTAAAATATATGTGAATTAAGAGCATTACAATGTATCAAATTTTATCATCAGGTGTCAGAGGAATAGGACCTCAAGAAAAGGAGAAATTCCTGAGTGGTAAAGACGACTTTACAACACTAAGCCTCTTCAGGATGTGGGTGTGTTCAGGGGTCAGTGTTCTTGCTCTGCAGGTACAATGCTACCCAGATTCTGAAGATGCTCATAAACTAACTGTTAAGGACTCAAAGCAGCAGCACTGCCATGTGGAATAAAGCGCTCCCCAGTGACCAAGAGCAAAATAACTGAAATTGGATTTAATGTAACTTGATCAGCATTTAATGGTGAAATTTGTCTTAAAATATTTTTGAAATATTTAGCAAAGAAACTGCTATGTATCCCCACCCTGAACCAATGACAGATTTGTTTTTCTTTTTTCTTTTTTAAAGATGACCAGTAAGGGGATCTTAACCCTTGACATGGTGTTATCAGCACCACACTCTCCCAAGTGAGCCATGGGGCCACCCCTCTAATGATAGATTTCTACCAACTTACTGAGGATCAGTCTGAGCCATGTGGAAACAGGAATTTTATTTAATAAATTTGGCTTCTGAATAATTACTTGTCTAGCTTACACTTTCTTCTTGAGTACAATTCCCAGCTCACAAATAACTGACTTGGGTGGAGAAGCAGCTGAGCCTGCAGGCCCACTGCCATAGATGGGAGCAAGAGTCACCACCTCTGCATCAGGGAGTCTCATCCTGTTGACACTGGGACCACTCTGTGTTCACATATCATGAGACTAAGAACTTGTGAGGGAAGCAAGAGCACTTCCCTGGGGGAAGAAGAGGTCTTAGCCAAGTTCTGTCCAAGGGGTCCAGAGACAGGCAGGGCTCTCAGCCCAAACCAGGAAGGGCTGTATTTATCACCTGGTCAATGGTAACCATTCCTTCTCATGTGACAATTCCTCAGCATAAAAGTTAGAACCAAGAGAAGACCTCTTTCCTAAGGGTTTGAATCTACAAAAATAAATCTGTTTTCTGTTTTCTCTTGGTGTTGGTAAATGCTTGTTTGAAATGCCAGTGCCGTACCATGAGCTTAGAGTGAGTGTAATCACGCTGCTTCTTTTTAATGTTCAGTGGACACCAGCTGCTCAGAGGGCCAAGGGCAGAGCTGGCAGGTATCTCTGGAGCCTGGAGCACTTGGAGGGAGTGAAACCCGGCAAGGGAGGGGAAAAGGGATCAAAACTGGGTGGTAGTGGTGGTGGGGGGTACTTCTTAGAGTCAGAAAAGGGCATCTGACTCTTGAAAAAGGGAAAACAGAAGTGTGAGAGAGGCATGGAAAGAAAACCTACTCTTACCTGTGGCCAGTGTAAAAATAAGGGGGCAGACTCTTCTACTCTTGCCATTTTATCACCCTATTCCCAAGATCCAGAATTCAGAGTCCTACTGTCAGTATGAGAAACTGGGGCCAAAGAGGCTTCCATAGGCTGGTCTAGAAACTAAATTCCAATTATAATGCTGTCTCTATGGGAAAATATGTTCCAAATTTCAAACAATCAACTTAAAAAATTTTGGAACAAAATCCATTCATAGGTTGGAATCTGCCTATAGTTTATGTATAAGATAAGGTTAAAACATTTTGTTGCCTTATAAAGAAAATATGTCCTAGTCTTCTCAGAAGGTTTGTATAAAGCTAATTAGAAGCAGATCTGCTGTAATCACCAAAAGTAAGCAATTTTAAACACAGATTCTTTACAATGCTATGTGCCAGAGAAACAGATTTCCTTCTGTGCCAAAGAACCTGATTTGCTGCCATTCTCCTGTGATTAAATGGAGTTCCTGCCTCACACACAGGCATTCATCAAACACTCGCACCTGCAGGGCTTCCAAAACTGGGTCTGCTGGCAGAACTGGAGATGACGCATGGAAACTACTAGCAGGCCCTGGACATTCCTTGAGTTTGTTTCCCCTCTGGGGCCTTACTGCCAACTGAAGACAAGCGTGGCCCAGGGCAAAAACAAAACCAGACACATGCAGGAAGAAGCCAGGGAAGAATACGTCCCTGGGAAAGAGGAGACAATCACTGGCTGCAGGGCCTATTCATTGGTGGTGGGGAGGAGCTGGAGTGGGCTTTAATTCTGAAACATGGCATGCTGGCCTCTTGCCCAGGGATCACCTAGATCTGCCTAAAGCTATGAAGAAATAGGGACTCATTATAGCAGGGGCAATTTCTGCAATTTGTGAGAATACCACTATCATGCCTTTTCTATGGAAGGGGGAACTATGACTTACTAACATTTATAACTTGCTGTGACACAAAGTAAGCCAAAGGCACCATAGTCTGACAAAGTGAGTGTCTAAAGGGACTGTGAACCAGGTTCTATCAGAGAGAACTAATGCATGAGAAAGAATACAAACCACTGAAATTTTACAGGTAACAAATTCTACATCAAGAATGCTCTATCTACTTTCATGAAAGATGCTCGGCAAAAAAGAAATCAAAATATGTGAAGGGTTATCAGTGTCTAAGAAACCCCATTTTGAGAAGGATAAATACAATAAGAATGGCTTTTAATAACACTCTTCTTAATTCTAAGTCTATACTTACTAAGCATGTACAGTTTTTAGAAGGAGAAAAATAAGAGAATTTCTACAGAAAGGCAAGTCTTACTGTTTCTAGTTCTTTCTGAGTCTCATCTTCCATTCTCCTAATGTCTTCCATCGTCAGATCGATCCATTTGTCAATCCAACAAAAAAGCTGGCGATGAAAGTTTGTAAATATCCTTTTTTCTTGCTTTAAAGAAAAAAAGTAGTGTAAGATGACAAAAACCTAAGATCAATGACAAATACATGCCCCAATTAACCCACGAAATTTACACATACTTGGTTTGAAAAGACTACCTGTGTTGGTAGTGGAAATCTTAATTCCATTCTATTACCATTTTGTAAAATAAAAAAAAAAAACATTTCCTGTGAAATGGGAAAAAATCTCCTCTGGCAAAGGTGTCATAATCTAAAAAAATGTGGTGTGCACGATCTAATCCAACATACTGCTAGATCCAATTTATTTTTACCTTTTCCTAAATGTCAATGAACAAAGGTCAACTAGATTTCTTCTGCTATAAAACTATACTTTGTCATTCTTAATTTCTCCACAATTCAATGGATTACTGTGAGGTAGAATACAACAATGTATTCAAAGAAAAGAGTCCTAGGTTCTTTGAAATAAAGATGTTTCATTAAATTAAGAATTATTACACACTATTAATTTTTCCATGCTACACGTTACTGCCACTTTATATATATAAAACCATGTATAGAACTAGTGATTTTAATTGCTAAATTAACTTTTACTCAACTTTCCCAAGGTGAGAGAAAAGCGCATGGAATAGTAAGTACTTTTCAGCAATCTTCAACTTTTTCATTTTTTACCGAAAACAGAAGAGACTTCATTAGTACCATGTATAACTTCTATTTATCAGAACTGAGTTGTTGGGCTGAGCCCGTGGCGCACTCAGGAGAGTGTGGCGCTGGGAGCGCAGCAGCGCTCCTGCCGCAGGTTTGGATCCTATATATAGGGATGACTGGTGCACTCACAGCGCTCACTGGCTGAGCACGGTGCGGCCAGTCTCAAAAAGGACAAAAAAATAAAATAAATAAATCTCCAAATATCTTTTAAAAAAAAAAAAGAAAAAGAACTGAGTTGTTAACCTATTATTATGATCCAAGAGGAAGGATGGAAGACAATATTTACAGAGTGCCTACTGTGGGCCAACTGCAAGAACAGGCTCAAGAATAACCGAAGTTTCCAGCACTTTGAGATCCTTTTTTAAAAAAAATGTTACACCAGCTACAGTTTAAAAGTAGAAGTATGGTGAAACACAAACACAACCTGTCGTGGGAATCTGAGCTATAATGGGGGCTTCTTTATGTGATAATGGAACAAATATTTCACACTACAGGAAAAGTAAATACCAAGGAAACTTTCCACATTCCTTGTGTATTTATAGCCATGTATATTTATACAACTGCAATTCTCCCTTCTTGCTAGATCTAGCTGCTCATGTTACTTTCACTTTAACAAAGAATACATAAAAAAGCAGCAATTAGAATTTGGATCCTCAGATTGTTCACTTTCATTCAGAGTGTACCTATTGTGAGGACCTGTAAAGATGACATCCCCTGTGAAAGTGCAAGGTGTGTCACGAGAGATATGGGGGACTGAAGGGGGAAGGTGTCCAGCAGAGCTGGGGCAGAGTAGTCCCTCAGCAGGCTAGGCCTGCCCTCTCCCTCCAGCCAGGGCTTGGATGCTAGGTCCCTTTGGGGACATGCTGTACGTGGAAAAGGCTCTCTAAAGAAGTGCTAGGCGAACCATTAGGAAAGCACTTTTAATAAAAAACTGCTATGCTCTTTTCCAAAAAAGTCCCTAAAAACCTCTGCTGGTATCTATCTTTGCTGTTTCAAAGAATAAAAAGAAGGCCAGAAATGAATTACTCATGGACAATAATTTTCATCTGATAAAGGAAAAAAAAGTGATAACAAAGAAAATATCCCATTAATAGCTAAACTATATCTTAACCTAAACTTGTCACGACATTTTGAACAGATTTTACCTTCTGAATGAAGTTTTCTACTTTGCTTTGCAGTCCCCACCACTTGAATTTGATGGTCACCAGTTTATAGGCACACATCTGAGGACAGTCAGGGTTGTTTGCCAGCTCCTTCTAAATGAGGAAAATTGAAAAGGAGAAACCGGAACTTCAATATTTATGTTTTGATTAAAATTGACTGTTGTGTAACGACATCACAGACATACATGAAGAAAATTAGAATCTCATGTGTTTAATTCATGTATTTGGAAATTCAAAATCACTTTAGCAAAAGCAGCAGCACTCCCCTGCTGCAAACTCTCCTTCCACAGACCAAGTTACTTCCTAGCTCTAAAGTTTAATAGGCCTGCTTCTCTGCCTCAAATTACAACATTCAGATTTCATATTAGATACCAAATTCTATTCACATCATACCAGTAGTGAGCCTTTAACACACAAGGGCTCTCATAACATCATTATCGCACTCCCACCATGGCTGTGGTGAGGCACAATAAAAGTGATGAGGAAATTTAGTCGTCTTCTGTATCTTCAAATACTGGCAAGTGGAATGGCCCTATTTATTAACTGAGGTATTTTCAATAGAAGGAGGATATGAAAAGTGATGCAGCAGCAATGTTTTTGAAATTTTTCATTATGAAAAGGGGGGGGGGGGGTTTTGCAACCTACGGTATCCCTGATGATTTTTGTAAGACTTAGTGTAGGCTCTGCCTCAGTGAGTTCAACATACTAACATGTTTATTTCCAGGAAGGGGTGAGTGGGGTGAACCAGAGCTTGCAGCAAACATCAGTGTTTCACTAGGGGTCCACTTAGTATTGGGTCCACTTCCAAGGTAAAGTGAGCAAGACACCAAAAGGCTCCTCGGCTGACCCAGAAGTCAGACTCCTGGGACAGGCTCACGGCACTAAGCAAACACAGGCATGGTCCTGCCCTCAGGAGGAGCTCAGTCTAGTACAGAAAGCATACATCTTAAATCACAGGTAGAGGCCGGCCCGGTGGCGCACTGCTACAGTGCGCCGCTTGGGAGCGCAGTGGCGCTCCCGCCGAGGGTTCGGATCCCACATACAGACCGGTTCCCGCTCACTGGCTGAGCGAGGTGCGGGTGCGACACGGAGGGTCGCAATCCCGTTGCCGGTCCCGGTCCGGTACGGGCACGACACTGAGGGTTGCAATCCGTTGCCAGACACGAAAAAAGACAAAAAGGAAAAAAAATTTTTTTTAAATAAAATCACAGGTAGCAGGGGTGAACAGCAGGTATGGCCTGGGGAAAGGACCATTCTAAGTCCCAATGTTGGTATGCTTGTAAGATAATCATTAAAAAAAAAAAAAAACTACATCATCTTAGGACTGTTGTGAGGACTAAATAAGGTTCGTTCGGTGCTTAATAGGTGGACCTCAAGGGCTTAAATCATATTAGTTTCCCCCTCCCTTTTTCATATCACTTTGAATCAGCAAAACAATTTTAAACAAATTCCCTCATAAGAGTAGAAAGTCATGTGCAACATTATGGGGAGCCCTTTTATAAAAACTAAATTACTGAGTCAAAGGCCAAAGTAACCTTTTGCAAGGATCCTACTGCCCTCCTTCCCCACTATTCTCAGTTCCACACAGCACACTCAAGACATCACAATACCAGTATCAGTCACGCTGTGTGCCACTGCTGCTTCTTGTCAGCTTTAACTCATTCATACATCCCACTTTCAGTAAGTTGTGTGTGAGCAGTCTTTCCATTCAGCCACATAACTTCAAAAAATGATGAATTTCTAGGTCTCATTCCCAAACCTCAAGACTAATCTAATCTTCACTTATGCAATCACAGCACTAGACCACACTTTCCCCCAAAATTGTCTATGCTTCAGTTTCAAGTTAATTCTAGGGATATGCAATATGAAAAAAAAATTCTATCTTTTTATTAATGGGACTGAAAGTTCTGTATAGTCCTGCATGATTGATCAACTTTTCTCAGGAAATATGTTCTGTAATAACATTTCATCTTTTGTATAATGACCTGGTACATAGGTTAAATCAATGAGGTAACACCAGCAAGCATTTAAATAAAAATATTACAGCAAATTGTCCTTTTGCAGGTGAGTTCTGTCAACTGAAGAACTTGGCTAGCTTAGTTCTATTTTCCCATGATCCTGCCACATAAAACTGAGTACCAATGTGAAAATTTAGCATGTTATGTGTACATAAACACAAATACACACATATTACCCCATACTTTCTTAATAAGTTTACTTCAGCAACTATTAAGCGGGCACCATTTAAACCTCAATCTGTGTGCTAGGTATTGTCAGGGGACATAAAAGTGGCTGGTAGAGAACAGTGTGTTAATTATGATATAAATAACAATTAGATCCCTGCCGTTGGTGCTAACAATATCTTCCAGAAGGGACACCCTCGTGTTGTGGATGCTGTGTCTCTGAGATAAAATCACCTAATTACATACTACCCCCCTAACCCTTGACCTGCAGCCTCCTGGTACTTAAGCTGGTCTCCTGAGTGCCAAAGAGGTCAACCAGCCTTCCAAAAGATAGCTAGCTACTGACTGCCCGGCTTCATTGAAATGACAAGGTTGGTCTTTCACACATCATTTTTTCAATAAGCAATGAGCCAATGCTAAGGTACTTTCTAATCCAATGAATGTCACTGAAAAGCCTCACATGCAACACAATTTGGTAATATGCAGAATATGCCATTTAAAATGTGAGATACACCTGCCAAATGGTAGTGCTAGACTAGGAGTAAGAGAACTTGGACAGCAGTTGCCATTATGCAAAGTAACTTCCTACGTAATATGTACAGAATCCTTAACCTCTCTGGGCCTCGCTTCCCCCTCTGTAACAGGAAAGACTAGACTCTATCAGAGCTCTTCATCCTCCTGAGGAGAAACTAAAAGCAGAGGTAAGTAAACTTAGGTCCTTGAGGCCTCTGCTGCAGGTGGTAAACACATGTCCTTGATATCCAGTGGCTTGTCCTAAAACTTCCTGTAATTTTGTATTTTATTCTATAATATGCCCGGACTTAACAAAATATCCCCGGACTTAACAAAATATCCCCCTGCCCACCCACCCAGGCTGAATTTACTCTGTAGCTGAACCACCAAACCACTGATTAACCCTAAGGTACCTTCCAGATCAAACACTCAAAGGTCCTATCAATTATAGGCTCCTGACAGCTTCATTTCTGAAACTTGTTCTACATGAACACCTTGTTCTACATGAAAACCTTGGGTGTTTCCAGTAGAACACCAAGTCTTCAGAATTCTCTAACAATAAATAAATTTAAAAAAAAATTTTTTTTTTTTTGACCAGTAAGGGGATCACAACCCTCAGCACAGTGTGGTCTGCACCACACTCAGCCAGTGAGCGCACCGGGCATCCCTATATAGGATCTGAACCCGCGGCCTCAGCGCTACCAGCGCCACACTCTCCCGAGTGAGCCACGGGGCCGGCCCAATGTTCACTTCTAACAACAATGATACAAGAAAATTCACAGTAAATCAAAAGGAATAATACTTCTA